ACAACCAAGCACACTCACATTCACACCTACGGACAATTTAGAATCACCAATTAACCTCAACATGTTTTTGGACTATGAGAGAAAGCTGGAGAACCCAGAGAGAACCCACGCTGCATGGGGAGAACATCTAGCAATCTAACTACATCTAAGTGTAGCCCTGTGATAGACTGGTGACCTGTCCAGGTGTCACCTGCCTTCACCCTATGTCAGCTGGGATAGACTCCAGCCCCCCATGACCCTAGTGAGGATTAAGCGGTGTATAGATAATGGATGGATGATGGTCAGGCTGTATTAAAGCAAGAGATATGCGTTAAAAAGGAGCTAACATAAAGAAGAAAGCTTTGCAATGTGTCAGTTTATTGTGCAGACTTTTGCAGTAGCATCCAGTCTGACTGCTGTCTGTTCCTACAGGTGGGTTACCAGGCAGGAAGTAACGGTCAGCCTCTCCTGCCTCAGTACCTGAGCGACCTGGACAGCGCTCTGATTCCCGTCATCCACGGCGGGGCGTGTCAGCTGAGCGAGGGCCCGGTAGTCATGGAGCTGGTTTTCTACATCCTGGAGATCATCTCGTAGGATCCGGAGACCTCCCGCCGACCCCTCAACCCCTTCCACTCCAGACTTTTTCTAACCTTCAGATGTCATCTCACAGCCCGGACCCTCCATCGTCTCCCTTCGAAACCGTTTGCACTTCAAAAGAGCCCGAAAACTGTGCCGTGCCAGGCGGGGTAGCATTCCTCCAGTCGAACCTATGCATCCACCCACCGTCTGTTCGGCTCCAGAGGCCGTCGGGAAGCTCACCTGCGACCTCAGCTGTCAGGTGAAGCGATGTCCGGTCATCTCCACAGATCTCACTGCGTCTGTCCTGATACCCACACTGCCTACTGCAGGACGCTGCAGTTACTTTACACACAGCGAACAAATAATCAACCGAGCAGTACAGCCTTAGATAACAGGAAAAAAAAACGCACATTCAGGAACTGAGACGAGTAATACAGTTTCTAGAGATATGAAATCTAATTTTGTAGTAGCAGAGAAATATCTTCTTATTGTGAATTTCTGTCCGATCAAATACTGAAGCGAGGTTCGTATTTCTTAGAACGACTGACAAGAATGATTCATTCTGTCAGTCAGCCAGGATTCACTCATCGTGTTTGTCAAGTGTCTCAAAACTTTTCTTTTAAACGCAGTCGTGATATTCAAGATAATGTTAAATTACTGAGGGAACAGAACGATGCTTTGTGGTGAAGCATAGATCTGTTGGTACAGAAAGTCTGTTTTAAAAGCTCTGTTTTCTCTGTCAGGTTACAAAGATCCCAGTTCATGTAGAGAAAACATGCTCACCTTCTGCCCAATTACGTTTCTGTCGGAGCGAGATCTGTCATCAGGCCCGTAGTGATCAATGACACCCGTCCCTCTGAAGGTCACCATGTATCTCTGCTCTCAGCCACCATCACAGGTTAGGACACCCAGAGCTCTCGTAAATTTTGTCCTAGACGGGAGTGATTCCCTACAGGCGCCTTTACACTGTGCAATTTTTAGGATGTCTGAGAGAAACTTTTTCATTCTGTGGTCGTCAATCTAAACTGGTGATTCAAGATCCTACAGATAGACAGACAGACAGACGGACAGATAGATAGATAGACAGACGTGTCCACCATTGCTCAAATTCTCATCGCCATGACTCGCATCTACAAACCAGCCAATCAAAATATGGCACGTAATGATGATGCTCAGCAAAAGAGTGGAGGTAAAATAAAAAAGAAGCAGCTTTGAGAGTTGTAGCAGAAAAAGGATGTAGTTAAAACATACAAGGTGCAGTCAAATCTTCCATGACTACGTTTACAGAAAGCAAAAACTACCAGATTTACATTTTGCCACCTTTTAGTTTCCTCGTGCAGCGACACACTGCTTCCAATGCTCCTGCCACACCAGTAAGGCCAGTGTTGTGCTATTTGCAGGCACAAGTATGAGAGGGTCCGAGTGATTGTAAACATCTGTGTGCCGCCTTAAATCTATGTCCACAAGGGCTCTGCGCTACGAGGACAGTTCTGTACACAAAATGCATACAAGATGATGAAATGTGCAGACAATGCCTCCTGCAAGTGGACTTTAAAGTAGAACAACATCAACTGTGTGTTAGTGACTACTAGAGAGTCTCATCAACATGCTTCTGGAAGTCCTGTCATGTGAACATATCTGCGATGGGCGCTGAATCTCCACTGTATCAAACTGGAGACCCTGAAGCTTGAAGAGGAAGACGTCACAGGCAGCCATATGTAGAGATCAGATGTGAGGAGAGCAACAGTTGTGCGTCTGCTCACACCGCATTGATTATGCAGAAGTTTTCAGGCGACAACACCTTCCTGGGCGTTGACAGTCTCACTCTGGGGAAGGAATTCATGGAGGAGCAGCATCCTCATGTCCTGACCTGGTGTTCCTTCTCCGGTTTAGAAAGCTGCCGTTTCTTGTCACTGCTGCAGACCCTCCTTCATCAGAGACCATCCTCGGCATCAAACCACACACCTGTAGATGCTGGTATACTTCTTTGTAGTCCACTGGGAGGACTCAGTTCCATACATGCACAGTAGATCGGCATCTGTTTTGTGCTTGTGGTGCACGGACACCAATGTTGAGCTGCTCGTACTGTACACAGAGGGATCTGTTGTGGACACTAACACAGATATGGGAACTGTACGGTGTTACACTTTCTGGTGTAAATTTCCTCATTTGCCCACGTCTGCAAAAGTACGTACAGACCAACATTTGTGTCCACGCAACTACAACGCTACAAGGGCAGGAGTGTGGAGTCACACAATACGTAGGTGTTGAGCTGTGGTACAGTGAGTTCTGCAAGAGGACTGGAAAAAAGCTTAATAACTATCCATGGTGTCCCCGAGTATGATTAAGGCTTAGCACAAGGTCTCAAGGTGAATGGTCTCAAGGTGTATTTCATGCATGTCAAAGCTTTTTGAATGCACCTCGTACCAGCAGAGTAGATGGATCATGTGGTGTGCTGCAGTGCTTTGAGTCGCCAGAACAAAATCTGGCGAGTTGATGAAATGCATTCAGAGTGAGAATTTTAGGCCAGTTAGGACTGATGTGCTTTGTTTGAGACACTTGATAAACACTGAACACCGGTGTGGCGTGGTATCAGGAGAGCTGTCAGATGAGCTGTCAGCGTTCAGGACCGCAGGTTTGTGGGTATCTGGACAGACCCGCCATCCGACCCCAGCGTGGTGTTTAATGTAGCTCCTCGGCTTCCTAATCAGACGTCACTCCGATGTCACCGTGGCAGCCGGAGGTCCTGAAAGCACTGAACTCTGGGTAAAAGCCGCCTCTGTTGTAGCACGGATGCCGTTCCGAGGGAGACCCACATCCATCTCTGAAAAAGTTTGGACTATTCCTTTTTGAAAGCTCGTGTTTCAAAAAAAAAAAAAAAGGAAAACTACAAATCATCCTGAGAGGAGGGAGAAGGTGCCTCAGTGTGGTGATTCTGTTTTATTTGCACCGTGGTGCTCAGTGCCTGCAGCAGCGATTCATCAAGGGAAAGATAAAAAAAAACAAAAACTAAAACACATCTCGGTTTCACTTCTTAAGCTTTACTCATCAATCACCGGATGCTTTACTTCACGGACAACCGCATTGACTTTCTGTACATATTTTTGTAGGCAGAACGATTTCTCCTCCATCATAAGTGTAACATCTGTAGCCTCCGGAGATCCCAGTATTACTGAAGTGACCGTCACGGACTCCTCTGACTGACGCTCTGTGAAATAAGATTACATGTTACTCTGACATCAAAAAGCTCTTTTGTCCTTGACAGCTGATTTAAAAAAAAGAAAGAAAAAAAAAAAGGTTCCAATGCTTTATTGATAAACTCAATCTGTATATAAAGCTGAAAAATCAGACGAGGGAAATCAGTTTTTAATCTCATCAATCATCTTCAAAGTCGTCTGTGTTCGTTGGGCAGTGGTTGGAACAACCTCGCATCTTATTTTGGTGTCTTTTCAATCATACAAAGAGAATAACTGTTACAGATGTAAAGATATATATATATATATATACAGCATATATATATAGATAAATATATATAAAAACTGTATTAAATTGCAGACGCAGTGCACTGGATTCTAAGCCATTTAGAGGAGAGTTAAAGCGAGCGTCGGGGTGTCCTGGAAATCAGGAAGTTTAAAAAAAAAAAAAACAGTGTTTGTAATTATCCGGGGTTCCTGCAGAAGCAAGAGTTTGATCGACGCGAAGCTGAATGTATTTCATCTCACATTTTCTGCATCCTTCCAAAGCCCCCCCCCCCCGAAATCAAGACTCTGTAAAACTCTGCAGACCTGCACAGGAACCCTGACGTGTTGTCGTCTTCGAGGGCCTCAACTGTTTTCGGATGGAGCTGCTGGAGGTCGACCTGCAACCCGTCCGTCTGCTCTGGACTCTCCTTCACAAACATGGACCTGGAGAATTAAAAAAAAAAAAAAAAAAAAAAAGGAAAATCTAAGAATGTATTCCTCTTGTTTCTGTTCAAAAATGTGCTTTTTGTTTCTAGCCAGACTAATCACCAAATACACACCCTGTCATGTCGAAAAAGCTCTGTACAGTAACCATCCTGCATTGTGCTCATTTCTCCATCTTTAATCGTGCTAATATAAAACCAGAAGGGGCTACTTATGACGTGCTGTCAGTGCAGCACGAGAGGTTTTGTCGTTTTATCTGAGGAACAAAAAAAAAAAAAAATTTATCTCGTTGTCAAAAGTGAGAATCAGACAATCACATGAAAATCTGCAGAAGAGCCGACGCTTAGTTTGAATTAGACCCTGTAGCTGTTCTGTATTCGTTCATTACTCGATTTGAAGTATTTTAGAAGCTCCTGTAGCAAAGTAATGTTAATAAAGACTGAACGAGAGGTCAAAGGCCGCCACTTCCGGGTTAATTTACTGTGATCGTACCAGAGGTGGCGTCGCCCAATCACTGTGTCTTCACTGCTCATCAGCCTGTTTTCAAAAATTAGCATCGCGAAGAGGAGACACGAGGATTTATTTTTTTCTGACTCCGTTTTTTTTTTTCTGTTACGTTTTAACTTTCTATTTTTTATTTTTGGCATTATCTGACGTGTGCAATATGTCCTAAATCCAAAAAAAAACAACAACAAAAAACGGTGCAATTTGTTTGAAAAAAAAGTAGCATTTGTTTTGTATTCAGTTGTAAGATGATTACAAATCCAAAACTATAACACTTGCATGCAAACAGAAACGAGCTTGAAACGGTGACGAGAGCGAGTCAACTTTGCATTTTAACAGTTATATATCCTCTAGTTTGTGGATGAAAAAAAATATGCTCATTCAGTTCTGTCATTAACTGGATTTTGTTAATTTTTCCTTCTTTTTTTTTTTTTTTTTTAAATAAATATCAGTCAAAAATGTTTGAAAAGCCAAAAATCTGTTTTTTTCTTTACTCTATTAATGTCAAGAAAAGTGGTCTTTATCAAAAAAAAAATACAAAAAACTGTAGTATATGTAAAATAAAAACTTATAGAAAACTGAAACCAGTATTTAGTGTTTTGCCTTTTCTTCAGTGTCAGATTTTTTTCTTCATATTGAAACAAAGAAATGTGTTCCACAGTGCAAAAATTTAAAACAAGGTCTTTTTAATGGTACATTTTAAGCAGGATAAGCAAATTCAGTCCACAATTAAAAACATAGCAAATCCTTGATTCTTCCATTATTTTGTAGCATTCTGGAGATACAAACAACATGACATCATTGATCTTTGTAAACACGTAGTCGATCCAAATGTCTGAGGATAAAATGAAGGGGAACGGTGTGTTTCTCATTGTTTAGGTCAGTTTTAGTCAGAAACTAGACGTCAGTTGGATGTTTTCACCCCCGAAAAACTTTCTGCACTGAGGCAGAAACAGAAATGTTGTGACCGTTTGGCAGCTGAATGATGTTGCAGACAGTGTTGAGGCGAACCTGATGGAGGCAGATTTACTTGGTTGGCTCAGTTATGTCGTTATGGCTTCTTTTGTCAGCATTTGCTGCGGCTGAAACTTTAAAGGGTCAGTTCACTCAAATGACTTTAAATAAAACACATTTTTCTTTTTTCACCTGGAGCTGTAGTCGTTGGACATTTTGGCCAGAACAGCTGTAAACACAACAGATTATCACACAAGTTAAGTCGACCATGTACGCAAATAATTCCCACAAACAGTTCTCACGTTGAGCAGATACAGAGCGACAATATCATTAAAGTTGTGTTTCCGGCCTTCTGATGAATTTTCGTGCAATTTTGAAAATTTTTTTGGCCAACTCCTGAGGTAGTGCCCCACTAATTTCACCAGAACAGAGATATTTAAGTCATATTAGTGCAGCTTCAAAAAAATGTAAGCTAAACTCGTACATGTTGGTTGATTTCTTTAGTAAAAATTGGCTCCGAAGACTTGTGGCTTCCCTGTTTATCAAGTCTACATTTAAGGGACAGTAATCTCTGAAAACTGGGGAAAAAAAACCAAAAACAAACAACTCATTGCTTTGGGTCATAAGGAAGTCTTTTTGTGAGTTAATAGGGCAGTAATTAATTATTTGTATTAATTAACAAGACAGTTTTTTTCCTGATTTATTAGTAAGTTGTTTAGTCTGAAAAATGGCAACCAAAAAGAAAAGTTAATTAATGTTTCCCAAAGTTCTCATTTTGTTCACAACCCAAAGACTCTCAGTTTACTGTCACAGAGGAATAAAGAAGCCATAAAACATTCACATTTAGGAAACTGTGGTAAGAGAATGTAGACGCTGATTTTCCTTTGCTCGTGTCAAAACAGTTGGTGACTAAAGTATTAGTTAATCGATTTGATTTGAGTGAACTGGCCCTTTAAAACACTTGAGAACTTCTTCTAATATTCAGTAACTGTTGTATGAGAGGACTGATGCATAGTTGAAAAAAGAATTAGATGAGAAGCCCGATGATGCTCTGGTGTCTGTTAAAACTAAGATACAGTCAGGTTAGCTTAGCTTAGCATAACGACTGGAGGCCTTTAGCGCGTCTCTGTTCCAACAAATCTGAAGCTCGGCAATCAGCTCTTAATTCTACATTTGTGTTTTTGTACAAATTAAGCTGAAATGTGTTCATCTGTGAGCTTTACAGGAGCCAACAGGTGTATTTTTGAGCCACACTGAGCCAGGCTAGCTGCAGGCTAGTCTTTATGCTAAGCTAACCATTTCCTGACATGAGAGCAGCATATATCTTCTTAGAAAACTCTGCAAGAAAGTAAATAAGCAAAATGTTGCACTAGTTCTTTAATTAAACTGAGTAGCAGCTCCCCTTTAACCCCATTATCATCTATGTATCGTGACTTTAGTGACGGCAAATTAGCATTAGCTGCAGCTTTGTGCTACTCAGTGTAAACATGACAAAAATCTAACACAACTAAAGCTACCAGGAGGTGAGTGTGTAGTTTGGTGACCACAGTTAGAGGACTAATAATGATAATAATCCAGGTGAAAGGTGCCAAAAAGGGAAAGTGGTCGTTAAAATAATTAGCGTACCTTGTTGAGCTTCAGTATTTCTTGGCTTAATCCTGTAAAACATCCGTGAATTTGCTGCTGCATCTGCAGGATATTTTCAAACTAAAACAGTATGAAGGAAACGTATTGAAAACTTCTAACAGCCCAACCTCTCTCTCTCTCTCTCTCTCTCTCTATCATGTACGTATGAACCTCTTGTGTCACTGTAAGCTCAGAGGTTTGGCAGCTAAAGGCGATTTTCAAATATGCAGGATTTTACAGCAACAGTGATTACTTTGGTATTAGTGCATAGGTGCAGTTCTAGATACCAGAGCTGTATAATATGAGGAATATGTACACATTCTTTGATATATTATATTAACTAAGAGTTATATCAGGCAGCAGGATCAGGTTAGCTCGACACCGAGTCCCTCCGTCATGGGCAGAGGACACGCCGCTGACCTCCAGGAGTCCCGCTGATGCGCCAGGACGCCCGACGTGCAGCAGCTCCACGTCTCCTCCTGGTGGCTGCTGTGTCACAGGGAGGCTCGTGTGTCGCGCAAATGTGCAAAAGTTTTAACAAGTCAAAGACCCGTGTAGTCCAAACTGAACGACAGACCGTCCTCGACAGATCCCAGACGCCTTCCTCCTCCTCCTCCTCCTCATCCCCCTCCTCTTCCTCCTCCTCGAGTGTTTCTGATTGAGTGCCTTTCATCTGCAGGACACAGTTCTGGTCAGAGTCCAGTCAGGCAGACATGTGAGGTCATCAAATGAAACAAAACACATCAGGGTCGTTCCTTCTTAAACTTCTGCTCAATTATTTCTGATTTGCCTGAAATTTTACAGCATAAAATGAGGATATTTATAAAGACACTTGATCCACTTTCAACACATCTTTAAACATTTGAACCATGTTTGCTAAACGATGTCTCAGGAATTAATTCAAGATAAAAGCCTAAACTTGTCACTGTTATTTCTGATCGTAATTCTGAATCTGCAATATTGAAAAAATAGATTAAATCTCAGATTTTTGGTAAGTTGCCAGTCACCACTAATCAGAGATTTGATCTATTTTTCCAATATTGTTATTGGTTAAGTATAGTAAAGTGAAGATATGAAAACCCACATGTTGTTTACATGTGTAAGTCTTTGTGTTGCACCTTGACTGAATCTGTGCATATCATTAGTGAGCAGTAAAGAAGCCAGTACTTGGATTTTGTCACCTTTAGAGCCAAACTAGCTGCTTCATTGTTCCCTCTGACTTTCTGCTCAGCTAAGCTAACCAGCTGCTGACTCAAGCTTTAATCTTCTCATCCAGCTTTTGATAAGAAAGCAAATAATATGTTAAACTGCTCCTTTGACTGAAAGACTTCATGTGAAATAAGTATTACACAGCTGAATTCTTACCATTTTTGTTAATTTTAGTCAAAGAAGTAGGAAGAGTAATTACCTTTATTTTGTGATTCATCTTTAATCTTGCAGAAGCACCTAAACAAGAACCTTGCAGACAGAAAGAACCAACATCAGATGTTTTCACAGCCTCTGGTTTGTCTTTTGACACGACGATGCTCAGAAAAAATTGTGAAAATATTATTACCTGACAGTGAAACAGAAGTATTCACAGTGACGTGAATGTAAAGGTGGAAGTGAGATGAAGGTGAATGTGTTTAATGTTACCTGTGCAGGGTCGATCACCAGCCAGCGCTCTGTGCTCGACTGCATGTCCTGACCGCTCAGAGGCTCCCGCAGTCGAACCTTCACTTCAACACGACCTCCTGTAGCTTTACGACCGTCCATCACCTGACACAAGAATCATCATTAACTATCATCCATCCATTATCTACACACCGCTTAATCCTCACTAGGGTCATGGGGGGCTGGAGTCTATCCCAGCTGACTCAGGGTGAAGGCAGAGGCCACCCTGGACAGGTCACCAGTCTATCACAGGGCTACACTTAGAGACAGACAACCAAGCACACTCACATTCACACCTACAGACAATTTAGAATCACCAATTAACCTCAACATGTCTTTGGACCTTGTGGGAAGCCGGAGAACCCGGAGAGAACCCACGCTGCACGGGGAGAACATGTAAACTCCACACAGAAAGATCCTGGGTGTCCTCACCAGGACGCGAACCGGCGACCTTCTTGCTGTGAGGCGACAGCACTAACCACCACTCCACCTTGCAGCCCCCATCATTAACTAATTTGAAACTAGAAACATAAATATTTATTTATCTGTAGCTGAGTGTCTCTCACCTCCACGATTTCCCTGATTTCACTCTGAGACTCCAGTTTGTCCAGCTTCAGGAGCGCCGTCCCGATCGGCTTGTCGCTCCGCAGGAAACCTCTGTGAGACGACACGGTTACAGTCTTCAGCCATTCGGATACTTACATCTTGAGGTTATTTCTTCTTTAGATTTTTACTGAACAAACCTGAGATCTACTGAAAGTCTCAATTGTTAAAATCAGGACTTGAGACTTTTCTGTTCTCTGACTTATTTATATCTTGCAGTAATTTTTCTTGTCTTGATTATTCTGCCTTCTATGTTACTTAAGAGTTTGGTTTTTACCCTTTTGAAAACCTTTTGACTCATATTGTATGGTGTTTATTTAGTTCCATGTCTGTTGTGTCGTTGCTGAAAGGTCCTACACAGGTTAGCTTACCTCACAATGAGAACTGGTCGACACATTGATAAAATATTGTGTTGTGATGACAAAACGCTACCAGATGACCTCTTAAAAAAAAATGTCCACACATCTAGATCATTTTTTCATGTTAAAACCTTAATAATAATCCATCACAGTGAACATTATAAGGTCAGACTAATCTATTATCAGCTTCTTGTAGCAAAAAATACTTTGGTCACTTCCAGGTGATTTGATGATGACATTTTCTGTGTTTTACACAATTTTATGAAACAAAGTTATTCTCTCACAGATGTGCTGTTGTCACATGCTGCTGACATACTGAGCAGCTCAGTCTGGGACTCACCCTTTGTGCAGCAGCTCCAGCTTGAGGCCTTTCGACGTCACCACCCTCCTGAAGCCGCGGTGGTTACGGTTGATTGACAGCGTGAAGCTCTGGTTGTATTCTGGTGAAAAAAACCCATGAAGGGACATCAGGAATCAACGTTACTCAAACCAAGTATTTTGTACAATAAAACAATAATTTCAGCAATGAAATAGCAGAAAATCCAACCTAAAAATGCTGTCTCACATGAGTCAAAACATGGAAATTAACCTATAATAAGTTTTATTTGTTTTTTTCTGCATACTTTGGGAAGAAATATCATTGCAGACACCACTGTAGGTCTGAATAACAGAGCTAAAGTGAGCTTCATGTCTCACCTGGGCAGTTAGTGTTCTTAATGACGGCTGTTTTGTGTTTCTGCGGCTGCTCCTGGTGGTGACAAAACAGAAGAAGAAACTGTAGATAAACAAGCTGTATGTCTGTGAGGATAACTCAGTCATCCATAATGTGCTAAAACATGCTAAAAAATGGTAAAAGGTGCAAAAACAAAGCTTCCTGGAGCTCGTTGGAGGCTCTCACCGTGCTCGGGTACGGGAAGTCAAACTTAACGTAGGCATCTAAATCATTTGTTTGGATTCCTAAAGAAGAAAGAGAATCACAAAGCATCAAATGTTTGCTTTAACCTTTATTTCTTAACTCAATATGATGTTTTTGGTCAAAAACAACCTGCTAACAGACCAAGATAACAAAACGTTAAAGGTTGCTGTAGCACGGGAAACAACTCAAACAGAAAATGACAGATTAGAATTACTAACAGCACAGCAGACAAATGAACTTTTGTAGCTTCAAAACTCAATTTAAGGTAACTTGTCGATGTACTGAAAACAATATAAAACATAGAAAAAGACAGATCAGTGTAGACTCTTACCACTTGGAGCAGGAAGATTCATCCCTTTCACGATGATAATCACCATGTCAGTGCTGCTCAGGTCTGGAAATATCCTGAAAGGAAGGAGAAGAAGAAAGGAAAGAGAAAGGATTACATGCATTGCATCTACTTGGACGACAAAACAATGCAGTTTCTAGAGTCCCGTGTGTTGTCTAACTTTTAAAAAAATCCATTTATTTGTGATGTTTCAGAGCTCGAGCTTCATCAGACAAATGGAGTGTGTATTTTTTTCCAATGCGCATGCTTTAGGAAGGCATTAATCCAAACATAACTTGACCAGTTTCCAATATCCAATATCCCCAAAGAGTGAAAAACACTTTAAATATGTATCAACAATCACAAATGTACCCCCAAAACTGTTAACATTAACTAGGTAACATCCTGATGTGTATATTTCCAACATATTTTGAACGATTACTGACGCTGGTATCAATATATGCATATGAATCTATCCAGCCTTCCATCTTAACCTACCAGGAACACCAGAGAATATCAATGGAATATAATCATGCTGACTGGCAGATACAGATTTAAAATGCAATGTAAGTCCAACAAAATACCTGAACTTCCCAGCAAAACATGCTATGCCGTTGGTCATTGTTTCATTTCAATGCTTTAATCGATACTGATGCTTCAGATGTTATTGTGCATCCCTTAATTTCAACAGTAATGTTAATTTCAACCCATGAACCGATAGTTTCTCTCGTCTGTAATTTGACAACTAATGAGTAAAAAAAAACGCGCCCACCTTACAGTACGAAACGATCTCTCCTCAAAGTGATGTTTAGGAGGAGGCAGACCCCTCGACTGAGCCAGCTTCAGCACCTCCAGACTCTTCTTACAGCTTTCTGCCATTTTCTCAAACCTGAAGTCGACACATGCAGAGGGAAGAACTTCATACGTGCTCCATGTGGTCATTTTGCTCCAGATGTCAGGACATGACCAATGGCTTTAGACTGCGCTAACTTCACAAACTTTAGGCCCTTCTCAGATGTTCTAACAGAGTTTGTTGTGAGTGACTAAAGAAGCTCACTTTGTTGTTTCAGCGACGTTCCCCAGGTGTGTGAATTGCTTGGAGTGAGTCATGCATTTCTGGAAGGAGGAAAGCCGGAGGAAAGCTTAACACATCTCAACGTTTGTATTCACAGCAAGACACCAACAGTGTGAAGCAACTAGAGCGGGAACGGAAAATATTTTTATCATCAGAACCAATTCATAAACGTCTACAGTAAATACACAAGAGAGATGAAGATGGCGGATTCTGCAGAGAGTTAGGAATCATTTTAAAGGAAAATCAGCATGAAGAGCCGATGCAAAAAATAATTATATAAAGTATTAAAAAAAGAACTGTGATCTGTAGTGAAACTTCAGCACAGGAGTCATCTGTGGACAAATCTTAATCATATTTATCCTGATGAAACCTGCTTTAACAAAAACTCTACAACAGTTTTTACAACAAAACATGATCTGATGGTCTGTATTTTAATATTTAATCTTTGAATCCAGCAGTTTTACCTCGTACTGCTCTTTCAGGATCTTGGCCAGCTGTGTGTAAACCTGCTCAGCTTTCTCTGAAATCTGCACGTCGCTGTGATGAACCAGGATGAAGTCGTCGTCCTCGTCACCAGGGGGCGACGGCACCTACAGGTGAAGCACACAGAGGGTCCTCACACGTCCCAGAACACATGAAATGATTTTATTTTGAGGAACAGGAACACTCATTCCGCTCATCAGTACTATGATTTAGTCATCTGATAAACATAAGTGTTAATGTTGGATTGTTAAAAACATTATTTGTTACTGTCTGTTGCTTCACGTAATTTTTACTTAAATTTCTAAATAAATACTCAAGAGAAAGGAGATCTTTGTACATCAGGATTGACTCATGCAGGTCTAGAAACTGTACATAAAAGTAGTTTTGCAAGTTAGACAGTGTGCAGGAATCTGACACTTTTTGTCAGTGAGTTGAATGGACACGTATAAAATGCTTAACTTGACTTATTCTGAAGTTAAGACATTCAACAAAAAATATAAATTCAGATATGCACAACAAAATGTTCCAGATGCAACGCCAATTCTCTCATCATAGCAACACAACATCGTAATATTTAGAGGAAAAAACTCCACTGTCTACTCTTTCTACTGTCTGAATGAGGCCTGTTTGTGGTTTTTGGAGAATCATACCAAGGACTGAGTTGAAAAAGAATAAATCTGCTCACTGTGCTGATGTCCACAGTTTTGCCGCTGCGTGCTGCCTCGATCATCGGGTCGAAGCCCTTGGCGGTGCGGAGGAACATCTTTGCCTGCTCCATGTCGTTCTTCTGCTTCGCCTGCAGAGCCGCCTTCATGTACTGCTTCTTCCGACCCTCCAGGAACTCCAGCTGCTGAACGGCTGGAGGGCGAACAAAATCCAGAGTGAGCCAACGGCAAACAGCTGGATGTGGTTTTAAGAGAATATCAGGTTCATGAAACGGACCTGTTGGTGAGAGTCCTTCCCTGGAGGTTGTTCTGTCGGGTGAAGCTGACGGAGACCTTTTTTGTCTTGGACCGGCCGTGGGGACGTCTAATGTGGGCTTTTTTGGCTCCTCTGGAACAGCAGGCTTTGACTACAAAAAAAAAACACAACACTACATTAGCAACTTATCCACAGAAACTTCCTTACCATGTAATAGAATACTGACAGCCCACCTCGTCTTCTTTCTCGTCTTCATCATCATCTTCTGCTGTTTCAGCAGCATCAGTAGAGGCGAGTTTACTTGCTGCCTCCAGAGCAGCAACAAAACCCTGCTCAGCTCCTGTCGCCTTCTGGCCGGGGATGGGAGGAAAGCCTGAGAGATGAGTTTTAGATTTACTTTTTCATTCAAGTACAAAAGCACATCTATATACTTGTGTTGCAGCAGGAGTGACAGCTTATTTAGTGATACAGAGAACACAGTAGCGGCATCGCCAAATCAAAATCCAAGAGAATCTCACCGGGGGGAACCGGCAGCTCGTCGAAGTTGACCGCTCTTCCAGCTTTGTGAGAACGGATGGCGCTCTGGTATTGCTGCAGGAGGAGAGAGGATAAATATGTTTTAGCAGCAGAGCCAATGATCCTGTAATGGGTGGAAAGAAGAACAAGTTTGTTGATAATAAACATCAGCCACATTTCATGGGGGGTGCAGGGGATACATCTGCCTCAATATGTATCTGTATAGGTTCATCAGACACTCGTGTAATATGTTGAATGAGCAGAACTCTTGCATGGGTTTATAAATTAATTAGAATGAATGAACTTATCCTTGATGTAAAAAGGCGCCACATGGAAATTTAAAGTGGTCACAAGTGACTTCTCTTAACAAAAGACACACAAGAGTAAATCATGCCGAGGGTACACATTTGGTAACCCAGCAGGAATAAACGTAAACTGAGAAAAGTTAATCTGAAGGAGAATGAATATTTGAAAGTAACACAGAATATCAGAGAGCCTTACTGTATTAAACACCATTATATTTAATTCTGCCATTTTTAACTCATACAGAGTCGCCGTGATAACAGACATCAGAGGGAAGTCTCTCCTTGTACCTTGGCAATACGGTCGTGCATGCGGGCCTTGCGGTCGTCTCCGCTGGCTTTGGCCTGAGTAGACGCCTCCACATACTTTGCTCGTCTCTGTTCAAGAGCCTCCAGCACGTCTTTGGGAGCGTCGGGGGCTGATGGGGGGGCAGGCGCTGAAACAGTGAAACCATGAAGTTCATAACACGATTTTACCTAAAAATTCATGCTTTTCTCAAAGAATGTTAGCATGAGAACAATTCTGAACTGGCAGCAGACTTCAAGTACAGCTGACGTCAATGGGAATGACATCAGTTTTGCAAATGTTGTGTCATAAATCAAAGTATGAGACAAATTGGAATTTGACTATTTGATGAAGGAAATGTCAAGACATGATAATGCTACAGAGAAACACCAATCCAAAAAAATATTAACTCACTTAACAAAGAGTTCGGGCATTGCTTTAAATGATTCAACTTGTTCCTGCAGTTAGCAAAATGACTCGTTTTAATACTTTGCATTGTTGAGTATAAAACACATCTGTTACAAAAAAGCCCTCCAAAGCATCAGTGCGGTTTCAGTGTAATGAGCTGTACAAAAAGTCTGACAAAAAACGAAATAAAACTTTATAAAATCCATCAGCGACCCATTAGGAATCTAAATTAGACCAGTGGAGATCCTCATCTACTTATGTCATAGATGAATATATAGTTGTTAAAAACACATTACTTTAAGGAGCTTTTCTCTTCCTTTTAAGAAACTTGTTTGTCATCCAGTTTTCTTTTCCACCGCCTATAATAGTAGGTACATTTTAAACAGCATATGTCTGACTGTGTTTCAATAAGTTCTGTTCTATCAAGATGACCAGAAAAATCATTTATTTTCAGACATTTAACCTTTTGTGAATGTATTGTTCAAACAGTCTCTATAGGAAATCTCATCCAGGAGCGAGTCAGTCTATAAACGCTGAGGTATGTAGCATCGGTTCATGTTTCACACTCGACAAATAAACATTAAATAAGCAGACATAACCACACTGTGCACAACACTAGCAGTATGTTTTTCTACTCGTTGAAGTCAGAGATAGAAATTAAGTATCATGGCAACCTTCCTGGATAAATTTTCAAGCAACATTAGCTTTTATTGCTTTGGGTGCCACAGAGATGAATTCTTTCACCTCTGAAAGAAAGTGCAAAGTTAAAAAAAAAAAGAGGGCGTCTGTGTTGCGTCTCCAAAGACACTGTTTAGGAAAGCAGCTAAGGACGCCCTACTAACCTTCAACCTGTCTGCTTGATAAAAAAAGACTATGCTTTCCTTCTTTTTATTTTTTTTACTCGCTCCACTCAGCTCATTTGTTTGACTTTGTGTGAGAGTCCATCTGCAGGTGTTGAATTAAATGTGCATATTTTATCTAAGACAAACTGCCACCACACATCTGAGACTAAACTATAAGATGACATTGTTATCCATGTCATAAAAAGACATGAAGTGGAAAGAGAATGCATGACTTATGAAAAAGAAACTTATGCCAACAATAAGTAAAGGTGTGTAGTTAATAATTGTTAAAATTGTTACTACCTGGAGCTGCTGCAACCGGTTGGGTGACCTCCATGTTTTGCCCAGAGGAAGGTTCGTTCACTGGAGCAGAGCTTCCTCCTGCACCTACAACACAAAAACTCAAGGATTAACTCAAATCTAAAGAGGAAAATACTTTAGTGATGCATTACAATACCCATACTACCTACTATATAGTGTGCCATAAAGAGAAGATTTAGTACATCCCAATACATGGCATGTCAAATGCCAAAAATAACACTGGGTTACAAAAAAATAACTTTTTGAAGGTGTCTAGGATTTTTTTAACTGATTTAGGACATTTTTGCAACACTGAATCCAAAAATGAAATCTGCTTTTCTGTATCAGGTCAGGTTTTTATCCTAACTCGATTTTTAAAAAATCAATTTTGCCACTAAATCAATTACATTTTTTGATATCAGTGATTGATTAATTTTAGTATTTCTCATATGAAATTGGATTTTAGAGGCAAAAATTCATTTTCTAATCCTTTTCATAAGCTAAATGATCCAAAAGTTGATGAGCGTAAACATTTGTAAAGGTAAATACAAGCAAAATGCATGTTTCATCAAATCAAAAATTTGACCTCATTGAGCAAAACCAATATAATATTTGGATTCAGCACAATGCAACTGTCCAAAATCAGCTCAAAAAACTTTGACACCAAAATGGGTATAGACCAGTGTAATCGAATGTCCCATTACATCTGGTCAGATTTTGCAAAATGCAAGCCAGCATGCTTTTCTGGCCATTCTGCGCATAGTTCGCTGTGCAGCTACGCTACATATGTCAGTGTCTCACATGACTATCAACAGCATGAATACACTATTATGACAGAACTGTACATTCAAATTCTATGCGTACTTTAAGTAAAAATGAAAAAAAGCATACAGTTTGGAATACAGCCCATGTTTCTGTGTACGTTTACAGTAGAAATTATTCTATTGAAATGAATTTCCCCTTATAGGCAGGTTGTTCCTATATAACGGGTGGGGCCTGTCTTCCTGGGGTTTGCACACTGTTTTAATAGAGCTGGTTCATTAACAAGGTAAACTACCACTTCACAGAATTATTTGTGTGGTTCTATCTTCCCTTCTTCCAACCCTGATACTGGCCTCTTAGATTTATGTCCACTAGAGAGACAAGCCTCCTTCCAGTGGGAAACATTATCTATCAATATATATATCCATTAGGGATCCATTAATGGTCTCCCTTCAGTCTGGCCTCCATCACAAACTAGGAGTGGATCAGACACAAACCTACAGAGTTCACATGTGAACATACAGTAAGGAGTCCTGTTAGTAGGAAATATGAAGGTAGTTTTTGAGTTTTGGCTGTACAAGTGTCTGACTACATCTGCTTCACTTCAGTGTTTTACAGCTTAAACATAAAATGTAAAAATACTTGTTTTTATCGTATATAAAACTGAAGTTATTGGATTCCAGCGATCCTCACCCTGTCCTGGAGATGGAGGAAGGCCACTCAGGTCGATCGCTTGTCCTTTCTCCAACGCCTCGATCACTGCATCGAACCTCTGCACCCAAAAAAAAGGAGGCAAAAACAGTCAAACATAATGATGGGCTTTGTCAACATCCACATTGTTTGAATGTTTCACATTCTTCAGGGAGAAACCCTGCGCTCAGAATGTGCAGCAACAGACTCAGGCTGCATGAATAATGATGTGTAGTTCATTTTAACTTCAAATATTACATTTAAATGTGTTTCTGAGGCATAAAAAAAAACTTAGTCTCATGACTGATGTTTGGTATATGAACTCAGACAGGATGCTGACTAAAGCACAAAAGGATAATTCTGAACAGAAACAAGAACAGGAAATAGGATTTTTCTTTGGCAATAATCCTGCAAGGTTACAAACAGTGTGTCCGTTATCGGAAATGTAGCTGCTGCAAGAATTCTACGATAGAAACGTGATCTGCTCAGCAAGTTATCTGAATGCTGCATCCAGTTCCAGCAGAAACAGGGCCTTATGAAGTGCATTTAGCTTGAAGTGACATACAGATACAAAGACTCAGAGCTCAGAAACTGGGATCGAAAGGTTTTCACAAAAAAATGTAAAAACAATAACACAAGAACTTACAAGACGAATTTTCATTCAGAATTGAAAAAAAAAGTCAGTGAAAAAATATTAAATATGAAAGCTTTTGTAAATATAAGAAGACTGTGTTAAGAATAGATTTAAAAACCAGAGTTTGAGGGCTGCAAAAGAACAAGAAACGCATTAGAGACCATTTTGTTTGGCTAAAAATAAACAGATTTCATTTCTATTTTCTATACCCCAGAACCTGACAGTGTCATCTACTAAGCACATTTCCCTACAAAATAATGTCCTGAAATCATACGACAAGGATGAAATACAGGCATAGGTCAAGAAAAAGAAAAAAAGCTTTTAGAAGATTCATTTAAACACAACAGATACAAATGTCTGGACAGGAAACACTCACTCAGCGTTGTAGTCCTTTAACTCACCTTGCTGGTCTTGAAGTAAAGCTTAGCTTGCTCCACATCTCCTTGCTTCTTGGCTCTCAGAGCTGCCATCTTGTATTCCTTCTGCCTCTCCAAAAGTAACGTCTTGGTTGCCTCGTTCGCTGTGGATTCACCGGACAAAACAGACAACAATACCACAGTGAAAGGCCTCATTCATCGCACACTGAGAAGCTAGTCGACAACCACCTCGGCTCAAATTCCAATCCAAAACCAATTGACTGTTAAGAATGAACTGGTATAAATGTGTGTGACCCAAGATCGAGTGAATCAAGTGTTCTAAAAAAACAGACTTGCTCTTAATAGTCAGACAAATACTGGACCTTTGAGGCAGAACATATAACAACCTATTAGTCGATATCTTTACATAAACTTTGGTTGTTGTTTTTTTTTGGTTTTAAATTGGATCAAAACACACACATAGCTGGACAAAAATCTACTTGCTACCACTATCTGGCGTCCAATTTATCCAGTCAAACTATAATTTGTATATATACAAAGTTTTACAATTGGAACCCAACTGGTCTCCAAAAACAGTCCACAGCTAGCTGTCCCGAATCATGATTCCTTAATGCAGTTAATCCATTACAGACACCTAATTTCCCTTTGGTTTTAATGAGTCATGTCAAAATCCTGTTTTTTTGGAAAGCTGCAGGTAGCTCGCACAAGCAGCCCTGACAAATCATCTCTCTGAATCTCTACAACAGGGGTGAAGGGTGCAAAGTTAGCATGAGCCCTAGAGCCACATGAGGTGCATTAATGGGTTGAACATTAAGTGTTTAAGTGGTATGGATTTAGTCTCCAGCTCGACAGATCGATTTGGGTGATCGATATGCTCTCAGACAAAATTCTCATTGGTCAGACAATCGCCAGCATTACTTTCATGAGAAAAGAAACACCACATCAACAGCCTTCCTGCATAAATAAATCAATTACTTTTTGTGGCAACAAAGGTTGTAGTATTTTGAACTCACCCAACCTCGTTAAGACTGTTGGAACTAAATGATTTAACATTTACTGAAGGTTTACTCAGTCGGCTCCACATTAACTGACGACATGACAAAGAAATCGTTAGTGTGGCTGCATTGTTCACAGAGATGGACTAAAAGTCGACTGTCACCTTCGCATATCACAGCTCAACAACCAACATGGCAGATCATCTAAAAAACGCATGCTAACATCTTCACGTTATATTTCTCAGTAGTTCCTGTGCATGCTGGTACGCTCAAAATCTGTAAATACTGTTTTTTTTTTTAATGTTAATTATGCCTCTGTGCACTGCGTCTGATTTAGCTCATCTAGAGATGATGTCCTCGGAGCAACTTAGTAAGTTCAGTAAGAAGCAACTGGACTTCTCTTTCAGGTTTTAAGAATCTGAAAGACAAGTCCAGTTGCCTCTTACTGAAGCTCTTAGGACTACTGTGCATCCCCGAAAATCTACACAGAGCTAGAGATAAGAGATGGAGATAATGTGCAGATTTTTTTTCCAGCAACCAGTCGATTGGTTGAACACTAGGTAGGATTCCAGCCAGCATAGTTTTTATTTGGTTGACTGCAGCCCTGCCAAGTGTGCAGTTACAGATATTTCGTATGCAAGCTGTCTGAGTCTGTGCTCAGATATGACACCCTCAGAGAAAAAAACTACCGATTAAAATCGTACGTTCTCCAACAACCAGTACTGTCACTGATATAACTTGGTGTAACCCAAGTGAAACTCACCATCTGTCTGACTGGTCTGCGAGAGGTCGGCAGCTTCCTCAGCGTTCTCCTCAGGAGACGGGAGGCTGCTCACAGTGGGCAGAGATGACTGTTCCTCTTCACTGCTGGGTGTGATGATAGTGGGAACAGCTGGTGGAGGTGTCAAGGCCTCTGATTCCTCCTGCTGGGTGGATTCACGAGGCGAAGGTACAGGCGGAGGAGGTCTTGCAGGAACAGCGGGTCGAGGGGCGTCGCTCGGGGCTCCGGTGGCAACAGGAGGAGGGATCTCTGCCTCATTTACAGGCCTCCCTTTTTTCACAGCAGCTAACATCGACTCCAACGTCTGCAAAGAGCAACAAGTTTCTATGAGTCTCCTGAAATCATGTATTTCAGACACAAGTTAGATCACAGAATGAGAAAACAGCATAAGATGCTTTATGGGCCAGCATAAATCAGATAAAACAACTTATGTAATGTGTTTTGAGAATTGATTTGAAAGTTGACAAACAGCACAAAGCTTTCCTTTAGGGAAGCAAACAGTGTGATCAGACAGAAATACCAAAAGACAAGCTGTCTCTTGTGTTTCTATGAATCTTTAGCTTTTGTGGCATTGACAAAAATTTACATCTTCAGCTCTGATTGGGGAACTGTTCTCACCTGAAAACTAGCTTTTGTTTTGCCTCTGAGTAGAGGTGCAAAGAAAATAAAACACAACAAACTAAAATAACAAAATAAATGGGAGGTTTGTGACAGAGACACTGCATCATGTTAGAAAAATCACAATAACTTGTCATGTTGATGTGTATTATATTAGACAGTGTGAGGAGTGCGACTCAAACTGGACCTGACATCTTCAGCTGTGTTTCAAGAATTTCTTTGAGAAAAGAAATCTTACTTTGTACGCAGTCTGTATCATGGAACATTCAACAAATTGATACCATAAGGTACCATTTATTAGAGCCTCATAATATCTGAATAATGACTTTATTTATTTATTTATGAACCATTATAGATTTATAGCATAAAAAAGAAGATTCAGAGATTCAGATTCAGATTTGATTCAGATTCAGATTTGTTTTATTGTCATTGTAACAAGTACAACGAAACGCAAGGTGCAGTCCTTTCAGTGCAAAAAAACAAAAATATAAGAACTTTGCAGAACAATAAAAAGGATTTTGTATTCGACCCTTCAAATACATACAACGATCAGTAAGTAAAGAACACTGATTATCTTGTCACAATGCAAAGTTCTGGACGCTTTGAGTCCTGGTATTCATGTGGATGTTACTCTGACACATACCACCTACCTAAACACTATGAACAACTGAACACACAGTCAGGCATTTTATAAAAATGAAAAGCTCCATCTTGAGCAGAACTTGAGTAAATCTAAGTACATTGTGCTGATAAAACTTCTTTCACTCATCACTTTTAAGTGGGAAAAGTGAACACAGGACTTTTTCTCTGACAGTATTGTACTGTGCGAGTACTTCTTCTGCACTGCCGGCACCAACATTCAGTTAGAGAAACGGTGAAAATAAAGCCAGATGGAATTTGTCTGCAGACGACAAATCGCTTAATCTTACCTGCTCTGAAACTGAATTTCTGAATGAAAGTTCAGATGAGGCTCTGATCATTTCAGACTGCGATAATAGTGGCTTATAATCATTTCCTACGTTCGTATAATTAGTTTCTTTCCATGTGTGGGCTGCTAACATACATAGCATATCTGGGTTAGCGAGAGATGAACTACTATGAAACTGCATTTTTCCGTGTGTGCATGATGAACTCTGGATGTTTTAACAGATTGCTCTCGTTCCTTCTCTTACATGCAAATGAGTCGTTGCACTTTCGGCAGCAAGCATTGTCTGCATCAACTGTAATAAATGTAGCCACACTTTTGAGCTTTACCTGCCATGAACACTGAGAGTCTCTGTGTGACAGAGTTAAGCTGTTGGAAAGGCAAAAATTCACCACGGACAAATGTCTTAATCTTACTGCAAATTGCGCAGTAATAAGAGAGCTGATGAGATAAAATACGCAATATAATGATCTTCTGAGATTCTAAAAAGTAACCAATAGCACAGCTGTTAACACCAGAGCTTATCGATGCTCCTTTATTTAGAATTTAGCCCATTTAATACCGGGGCTCCCTATCATTAACGAAAGCGCTGCTGTGAATCTGTGCATACATCATCATCAAGCTGTCGTTTCACCAACCTTCAGGCCACGATCGTATCTCCTGGCTTTGGACGTCTCTCCTGCGGTCTTGGCGTTTTGCAAAGCCATTTTGTACATGGCCACTCTCCCCTCCAAGGTGTGTTGGAGGCTGCCGGGGGCTGCCGACGACGCCTTTACTTCCCTCTGCTTCACAAGCGTAACAACAAAACAGCATGGAACACATGCTAAGAACGTAAAGTCGCACGGATAAACAATAAGAGGAAATAAAACACTAAACGCAATTTACAAAAGCTGTCAGACTTACCAGAAACAGGTGAAAATATTTACCTCAGGTGCATCTACTCTACCGGTAACGCTATCGATTAAAAAATTGTTTGCATAAAAACAAATCTGATTGAAGATAAAAATAGACAAGGAAGGAGGACAGGAGCGTCCGTCCTTTCCTGTTACTGGTAACAGACAAACATTTCTGCCAGTTGACACGTATGTAGGTGTCAGTTTCAGGGCTGGCAGAGAGCTGCGTGCTTTGTACCTGCGCCACTGGGGACTCTGGTGTTTCAGCTTGAGAAGATTCAGCCATAGAGGAGGATGCGGAGGAAGGAGTTACGGCATCCTCAGCTTCCTCCTCACCCACCACTTCCTGTAGCTCTGCCTGATGAGAAATGAATACAGCAACTGATCAACAAGCCGGCTTTGATTGCTCACATTCAAGGCTGGATTTTAGAGGTACTGAGTCTAAAGTTTTCCGTTACTTGGTTTGAGTTTTTGTGTGGTTGTTTGACAAATGAAAATACAGTAAACCAAAATGTGCAGATTACATTGGACCTCCAAAGAAAAATCAGCAACAGTTTATAGCTGCAAGATTACTGTGGGTCTATAAAACCTGCTGGCACAGACAGCACACAGGTCTAATATTTGCATATTCTTTTTACTGCTTTTGGCTCATGGAAGCAGTCAATTGGAGGTTGGAGGACCTTAGATGGTGATGATCACATTTACACTTGAATCTGCCCAGCTTAACTACGCCTTGAAGAAATGTCAGGGCACTGGGTTGGGAAAAGGAGCAGTGGCTTGAAAAATTAACCTACATTTCTTTCAGAACATCATCTTTTTAGTTACAAATTACTTTGAGAATACTGTATATAAAGAACTGGAGGAGTTATGTCTGAGCAGGACTCACTTTTACCTCTGAACTGTGCCGAAGTCCTGAGTCCAACAAGACTCAAAGATTTTTTTTTATACTATTTTGTACTGTATTAGCAGCCTTTGCACCTTTTCATTTTTACCTGTAATATGTGTGAGTGACTGGATACCCAAATGTCCCCATTGGACGAATAATGGAATAAAGGGGATGAATAACGTATCCATCTTCAGCAGGCTTAGGTCCTCACTAACACCAAAAAAGTGGAAAACATTACTCCAGTTCTCTCCTCTTTTTGTTGCATGTGTGCCAAAGTCACAGTTTTAAAACTTGACTGTTGGTTTTTAGAGCACGAAATGATTTTAGCTCAGACAGGGTTGTTGCTGATATTGAATTTTTTGTTATCTTGCACATAAATGTGATTAACTTTTGTTAAGGTGTTCGGTTTTGCAGCTAAATTCATGACATTACTATCAATAGATGTTCATTGAAATGCAGCTGGTTGAATATTAGAGGTCAAATGCCTTGATATAAGCAAGTTGTGCCATTAAAGCACCACCATCAGAAGAAGAGCTCAATAAAATATTAAAATGGATAAAGACAATAAAACATTACTTTTTTGTAGTTTATTTCGGCTATTTTAAAGCAGCTGAATAGAAATTATTCTAACAATTGCGAAAAATGATCGCAGTCAGCTCAGATAATTCCAACCAGGCAACTATGTCATCACGCAGAGGCAGCATTCAGCTTTTGAGCACCACATATCTGGATAAAACTTGTTTGTTACAGCTGGAACTTATTGTAAATTTATGCTAAACAATTTAGGCTTTTTGTTTGCCACTGCCATTTATTAAAGTGAGTTTTCAATAACGGTGGTACTGACTCCGACCTTTTACTGCACTGTAAACTCCTCTGTAAAATGCATCACTCATTTTCTATTTCATTTACTCTTTTTAAACCTTGTTTTAACGATTTATATACTTGACCATGTTTTGCTAATGTGTTTTGTCTTCTTTTAGGCACTCTGCCTTGTTGAAAGGTGCCAAATAATCTTGCCTTGCCCTTTTTCTAGTTCCAAGTTTTCTGTGTAAAGACATTGTCCACATCTGGTCTCCTCCTACACACAGAATTACTGAAAGTAGAATTGCTTCTGAGGATTATGGTGATTTTGAGTAAAACAGAATTGAATGAACCAATAAAAGTAGCAAATTCAGTGTTAGTAATACAAAAGATCCTGAGTCATGAAATTCTGACTATATGAAACTTTTTGACTTAACGTGTTTTCAGGAATGTACATTTTTAGCCAATAAAATACTAAAGTAATACAATTGTTTGAAACCACCTTTGTGACTCAGGGACATGGACAGGCTGGTTAAAAATTAAAGAAAGTAAATGAGGAAAAAATATAAAGATGAGTCTACATGTGTGGCAGTTACACAACTCACACAAATGTTCTTCTTTTCATAGCTCTGTACCACTTTGTTAAAGACATTGGGTGCTTTGTCGTTTTAGTTCTTTTAGTGCCATCACTGACTATCCACTATTTGATAAATGTAGAATGTGACACTGTAGGCTCATGGCGAGACAGTAAGTCTTTTAAACCACATTGCTGAAAGCCTAAAGGCTCAACAATAATAACTTTTTCTTTCCAGTGCAAATAAATGTATTAAAATTCATCCGTTATATGACGGCACTGAGTTTAACACCAACCAAGAGATCCTCATCGTCTTCGATATCGTCGTCGTCTTCATCGTCATCCACGTCTCTCATACACTCATCAGCCATTCTTGCGATGTCTTCCATGGGCAGGGGGCCTAAAACAAAAACACGCTGTCATTAACCATGTGACAAAAAACACGAATCACAGAAGTAATAAATGTCAACGGCAGCAGTTTCATGAGGGACTACTTTCCATGGATAGTAACTGCAGAAACACATGGTTCCAGAAATCTTACAAACTCATTATAATACCGTTCAGGCAACAAAAACTAAATAAAGCTGTATCTCTAAAAGGAGTCACAGCAATATGGATCCAATTTGGGCATGTAGTACACTATTCTGAAGTAATAAAGAGGATTTTTTTGAAATACTAACCGTGAATGTAGGAAAAATGAATAACAGCTGTATTTCACAATCACAATTGTTGAGAAAACAAAACTAATGGAATCTTAACATTGACGTCAGTTTATAACATGGGTTGTGTATTATTATGCTACAATGCAGCTGATCAGTCTGGTATTATTCTTAGTAGTCCTTTTTTAAGGAAAGAAAAAACAAAACAAAACAAATGAAGAATAAAACTACCATTGCTTGACTTTGTCTTTTTTAAATTTCCCTCTGTTTCACTCTCTTTTTTAAGTACAGAATTGAATTCAGGACTTCTTTGACAGCACATTTACTGTATAAAAGTGTTACTTTCGTAAGAGAAACAGTGAAAACTAATCCAGCCAGCATTTGCCTGGAGGCCACAAATCACTAGCTCTTTCCTGCTTTGCACAAAACGAAACTGAAACTGTGAATTTGTGTTGGACAGTTCACATGATGCTCCGACCATTTCACACTGACGTTTTGAGGGCAGCCACAGCTAAACAATCAGCGAGGCAATGGTTGCTTATAATTATTAACCCATGATCATTTAACTTCGTAAACTGTGTGTGAGGGCTCTAGGCTGCCTCCATACACAACATACCTGAAGTAACGAGAAATGAAGTAGGAGTGAGGCAGTCAAACTACATTTCTCTGCATATATGTAATGGACTTCTGCTGGATGTTTCAACAGATCAATCATGTTTGTGTCGTTACACACGCAACACTTGCTGCATTTAAGCAATGAGTCCTGTGAGCATTATTATTACATTATTACTAATAAATGCATCTTAAACAGATTAATTGGTGAGATAAAATGAGCAAGATAACTTTTATGTAGGAATAATAACTATTTTCTTAATTTCCCAAAATGTTGGAGCTTCTTCATCCTCCAGTCTTTGATATTTTAGGCTTTGGCCTATTTAATACCAACTTTTGGAATTTACAATCTTTTAAATGCACTGATAGCTTAGAATTCACACTAACACATTTAATGTCTATTAATGCATGAGTTGTGCTGATCTGAAGAAGGAGAAAGAAAGATTCTAGCAGGCCAGAGAGACCAAACTCAGGGAGACTGAGCCAGGTCAGCTAGAAGAAATGCAGCACAAACACACACACCCACACACACACACAAAGGGAGAGCTAAGTTTAAACCACAGCTCCTTCCCAACAGATAGCCATTCACGTTTTACTATTTAAATTCAATGTCTGTGTTTAGCAGCCAATCACTTTCCACTATACTGAATAAAATGTACATGATTATATGAAGCTGCATCCATTGCTGGGGAAGTAGGTGACAGAGCAACAGCCTGTTGACTGCGATTTTCTGAATCACTACTGGATCCTTGATCAAGTAAAATATTATATTGCAAAATAAATAACACTGAACGAGAGAAGTAGCTTGTCTTCTATCTCAAAAGAACGAACACGCTTCAACAGTTCCCATCCCTCGTGATTACTTAAATAGTTGACAACTAATTAATTAACTGTTGCAGCTCTACTGCAACATGCCAACAAATCCCCTTTCAGAGATGCCCTCTTTTCTGTTAATATGACAGCATCTGAATGCGTCAGCCCACTTCATGTCTGATGAACACCCTGGCCGCCTTTCTGTAAAAGTTTCAACAGCAATCTTACTAGATTGGATCCAGCAACATGTCAACTTTTCAACAAGTTTGAACTGCACCCAATCGAATCACCGGATAGAGGCACACAAAAAAATATATATTTTGAGCTGTGGTGAAAGTATTTAGGAAACAAGATTTCCACCTTTCAGCACCAATATTTGCCTAAAAACATCTGAGTGAGAGTCTTTGCTCTGAGTTGAATAAATATCTGCAGCATCAAGCAGCAGCAGAATCAACATGAGCAAGGGAGCTATGCAAATCTGAATACATGGAACAACACTAATTAACCTCATTAATTATTTGTAACTGAAACATTCTGCCAACATGGCGACAAGATAGGCCCATACCAGGATTCAACAGCAAGTCACACTATGTACTTTCATTTACATCAGACAGGTGAGTTGTCACACACAGAGAGTCACAGTTTAGTTTGTTCCAGCTGTTTTTAGAAATCTTTCCTCTGAGTTTATTGTATATCAGGCAGCAGCAGGAGCAACAGCAGTAACTTCATTAATTAGTTATAGTTATAAATTATCCCCAACATGGAGACAGGATCAATCGGGATCTAACAACTCGTTACATTATTCTTGTAAAGTAGTCATTACATTATCATCACACATGGACAGAGTTTGGCCAGAGCTGCTATTAGTTTAGATTAAGTCATATGTTTGTTATTGCCTTACTATGCAATAGAAATCACTTGGTATATTGTCTTATGAAGTGTGACTGACAAATACTGTGTACGTGCTGCAGCTCTCTTCAGCGGTGTGGTGGGTATGTCTGATGAAACCACAAGGAACATTAAAAGAAAAGCAGCCTATGTCTGAATGACAGAATGCTGTCACTTCAACAGACAAATAAAGACAGCCATGTTACATATCTCATGTCTGGGAAGGGCTCAAATGTCGTTTTATGGGGTTTAAGACACTTACACCTGAATCAGACACATAAATCTGCATCATAAATCATATCTTCTGCACTCACTTTTCCCCTTTGGCCTGGCTCTTCCTCCTGCAGCAGCTTTATTCCCAGTAATAGCAGCAAGTTCAGCCTCCAGGTCCGGATCATCCAGATTCCCCTCCATACCCATCATCATCTCTTCAGGGTCCAGGTCGACAAACAGACCCATCTGAAAGCAGGCAGCAATAGGGTCAACTTCACCACCTTGACAGCTGATGTTGTCATGTGAAAGCATCTCAGAGTTGTTGTTGTTGTTACCTGTTTGGCTGCAGCAGCGCCCTGTCCCCTGGGCTGCGGAGCTCTCTTCTTCTTACCAAACATGTTGTTGTTGTTGTTGTTGTTGTTGTGGCTTGTATTTGCTTAACAAACCCCTGAGCGACAACCCGGTGATCCAAACTACACCTACAGACAGAAACGCGTTAAGAAACCCCGCTTCTTGATGCGAGCATTGTGGTTAGCAGCGGATAAAGTCATGTGAGCTGTTGTCAGGTGGCTCCCAAACACAGCGACCGATAACGAGCTGCCAACTGACGGTGATGTTAGCATAGCTAGCTAGCGGTTAGCCGTGTTTCTGGCGTCTAACTCGAAAAGTTACTTTATAAAGCGGAAGCAGGCTGTCGCTGTCATTCTTCGAGAGTGTTTCTGGAGAGTTTTGTGTAACGTAAGGGGAAAGGTGTGTCCTTACCTGCTCGTTCAGCACTTCATGAGGTAGTTTTCAGACAAACTGTTTCATTTCTGCGGTTTGACATGATGAGGGGTTTGTTTAAGTACGCATGCGCACAACGAGGGCGCGTCCCACCGACCTCCAGCTGAAGCCCTGAACTCTGTCTGTCAGGTTCACAATTTAATCTAGAAAGTGTGCAATTGGGGAGAAACTCAACAGGCAAGATTTTTAACAAATATATATCAGCATTAAACTTCCTCAGTTGATTTACAATAAGATAATGATTTTCTGAAAGTCTAAATAAGAAAATGATGCAATAGACATGTCTGAAATGCCAACAAGACAGTGATTTTTTTGCACTGCAGATGTTGTGAAATTTTATGTTTAAATGTACAAATTAGATATCATATATATCTAAAAACTTACTCATTTGCATTAGTTTGCAGAACATAAATCTAAATATTAGATAAAGCCAGCCAAAAATTAGTTTCACTTTGTGAACATATTTCATTTGACATATTTTTTATTCTCTTTTACTCTTTGTCTTTATTTGTCTTTATATTATTATTATTATTATTATTATTATTATTATTATTATTATTTTCAGATTTTACCCACTATTTTCTTTTATTCTGTTTTTTTTCTTTTCTGTGATGTGGCATTTTGTTACGTTTATTATTTCATTGTATTGTACCTTGTGTCTTCTGTAATAACTTAATTGTGAAATCTTGAATATATTCAGTCTATCTATCTATCTATCTATCTATCTATCTGACTCTGAAAACATGCAATAAGCTCCATCATTATGTATTATTGTCAGTGAATAAACAATTAGCAATTAGGGCATAATTTCCAATCATAACTTTTCTATCTTAGGAATAAATGATTCAGCGTATTTCATAATTTATGTCTTGCAATTCATATTTTTGGTATAACATCAGAATTTTAAAGAAAAAAATGCAGCCAATTATGCACTTTGTGCCTTTTTCACAACTGTAGTTCCTTTAGTCAGTCAGCAGTGCTGCTCACTAACTCAGGAGTTGCAGCCACATTGTTGTTTTTGTGCTAGATATTTGAATAATTAGAAATAAATATCACTTAAGGTGGAACTTGCTGTAGAAAGAAAACTACGACTTTCATTCTCATTTCTTTCACACACTTTATGCAGGTTAAAACGTAAACTACCTGGACAGATTTTCTGACAGGAAAGAATACAAATGCAAACACTATTTTGTAAACAAAAGACATTTTATTTACTTTGTAACTGTTTACAGAATATGACAGAAATGTGTTTAGTAAAAACGTATATTCCTTCCATGATATAAATGCAGATTAGGATGTTTAGGCTCTGGTTCTTATAGATAGCTTAAGCCTTAAGTTTAGTGCAAAAAAAAAAAACCCTGATCCAGGCTTGTTTTGAGATTATACTGTATAGAACTGAAGCAAAAACATCTGTGAGCTCCGGTGTTGGAATATTACAGATCCCTGTTGTTGCTGCTGAGCAGTTTGGGGAAGGACGTGCCGATGGATCGGCCGTGTCGATACACAACCAGCTCCAGCACATACTCGTCCACTTTCACCACCACAGAGGTCATCTTCTCCGTCGACATGAGGAAGATGATGGTGAAGAGAGCGACTTCGAACTCTGGACTGACACCAATGAACGAGCCGCCGACCGGCTTTACAAGGCCTTTCCAGCTGAACTGCAGGTTCAGGACGTGGTCGTCCTCATCAGGCTTTAAAACAATGATTACATGAAGTTTAATACGGTGCTTGTGCATTCATTTGATGTTCAGTTACAGCAGCTTTGGTTTGAAAGTAGACTATAACTTAATAAATACAGCTGATAAATGTTCAGAAAGACATTTAGCAAAGTTTTTCTAGTGTGTCAAGCATATTTATGTTGAATAAAGTGATGCAGATTTTTCTTACTGTGTCTTTGTTGTCTCGAGCTTTGTAGCCTTTATAGTCAACATGGTCGTGCTTTTCCTGCAGGTAGAACTGGACCCAGTTGTGCAGACCCATGATCTCCTGGCCGTACTTGGTTTCTCCAACAAACACATGTTCAAATCCACAGGAATCCTCCCTGTAATGAAAATAAAAATCAGTATAACCAAAGATAAGCAAGTTAAGTCTCCATGTGTGCTCTCATTCATCAACAAGATAAGATCCCCAGAACTTTTTTCCTTCTTATCCGCAGTGTTTGCATTGTGGGCTAGGCAGAAGGACAAACAGTGAAGATGTGACTCTCCTTGAAGGACACAGGTCAGTATTAAAGATAAATACATCATATGTGCAGTTTATTGCAAATTTGTATTTTTTCAGACTCAAAACATGCTCAGTGCATGCAGTAAATGTAACTTGGAATGGAAAAACAACAGAAAAACAAGGCCACACTGAGCAAACAATGGTTTAAATGTGGATTTGCTGTATCATTGCATTCATTCATTCATGTATATATTTAGTTGATCCTTGAGCCGGAAATTCATCCGTATGCTGTAGGTCAGCTGATTCTGCTAAAGGGAAACCGGACATGAAGCTGTTTCAGTTTGACTTCACCCCATCATCCATCAGATGATTGAACCTGAGCTAGTTTCTTATGTGCTACAGTGGCTCCCCCTGCTGTTAGAGTCAGGGTTGACTCACCCTCCTCCCCTCTCCCGGTGGTAGAGCCGGAACCAGATGTCATACAGCTGCCTCTTAAACTGCGCAGTGTCTGATGGCGACTGACCCTTATTCACCAGATACTTGTGAGCGGTCTACGAACAAAACAGCATATGAGGAAAATTCAGGCTTTCAACTCAGAAATGTGGTCAAACAATATGACGCATGTAAATAAAATAAAATAAAAACAAAACATACTGACAATACAGATCGTCAATCAGGCCAAAATGCTGTTACATCTGAGACTAAAAGTTCATTCTTGATCTCAAAAATAGCAGAGATGTGTGACATTTCAAGCCAGTACACATGAGAAGTCCTGAAAGAGTCTGGAAAGAATGCATATCTGATCATCTGCAGCTGCAATGACAGCTGGGTAAATAAGTTAAGAAAGATCATGTGAGAAACATCAAAGCCTCTACAGAACTGACTTTGTTCTGAGGCTGTTTTGTCAACCAGTAATTCATTTTGGATTTAAATTCTTCCTACAGGGCACAAAACAAAGAGCAATGGAAAAAAAAAAAAACCTAAAATAAGGATTTAGGGTAAACAAAAAAAGCACATGTGTCATTAAACTCATAATAATCTTCTTGTTGAAAAAAGAATCTATGTTAATCTTACATTGTAATAGCACAGAGCAAACAGCCCAGTAGAGTTTATTCTCATCTAAAATGCAGTCGGGAGTTGATGTGCTTCCTTTAAAATGGGTCTTTTTTTTTAATTTGGGAAAACCACTGAAAAAAATATTTTAAACTTTTCAAGGCCAGGTGAGCAACTTGGCCTGAAACCACATATAAGACAGGAACACACAACAAAGTATGACACATAACCTAGTTTTCTAGGAAACCGGCTTCATACTGATGTCAGATGCTCACTAAACCCATCAGTAAACAACACCTTGAAGCATTTTCACCAGGCGTGTAAACAGCTGCTGTTATGAAACTCTGTTTGAGCATCGCAGCTTGTGGTGAAAGACGTGTTACTGAAAACAGCTGCTGCACCTTCATGACTTCGGTCTCCATGATGGAGTCGATGAACAGTTTGTTCTCCAGACGCTCCTGTGAGGTGACGGTCTCCGACACACCGGTGGACATCTCATAGTTGTCCAGCAAGTTGATGAAATCTGCGTTAAAAACGGGGAATTGTTCAAGCTGTTGAGACAAGTTTCTATCAAATGAATCAATAATGGAGAAAAGGTATAAAACGAAGATGTGAGCTGCTACTTACGTGCGTACGTCTCGATGCCCTTCAGTTTGTCTTCGTTGACGTATGTGAATAGTGGAGCTCTGGCCCGGTCTCTGGCGTAGTTGCTGCCCTGAGCAACATAACCGGCCCTCCCCTGAATAAAACACAGCACATACGGTCAGCCGTCTGCATGCTGTGACTGAACAAAGTGGGAAAACTGACTCAGAATTAGCTGTACTGGCCTCTATTTCACAATATTTAACTTGTTAACTTTTAATCCACAATTACTACAGCACATAAAAACACTTAATGGGTAAAAATATCAGAAATGAGAGACTATTAATGCACATATCTTTTCAATAATGGATAACGGAAAGTTTTTCACACATAAAAGCAGTTCATAAATACATTTTGTTTTCCTGTTTTACAGTATACACACAGTGCATATATTATATATACTAATATACATCATATACTGTAGACTACTGCTTGGCTTAATCAAGTGATTCGTCAAACAACAGGCATTTTTCTGAGGTTTCAATTCATTTATAAAGAAAAAATAGAAACATTTCTGCTTCTCAAATGTTAGAATTTGCTGCTTTTCTGCATTTTATATCACAAAAAATTGAAAATCATCTTTAACTGTTGGTTGTATTAAACAAGCGATTTGAAAATGTCATTTTTTGGCAATTCATTGTGATTTTTACAGACGAAACTGATGAATTGAAATAAGTCAGATGAATCAATAATAAAAAATGTCATTAGTAGTAGCCCTAATGTGTATTATAAACATTATAAAATATGTAGAGTTCTGTAAGAAAAGAGCTTTTATTCTTTATTTTTCACTTCATTTTGCCGTGCAGGTGAACTAATATCATTTAGATCACTGTCCTGAAGTTTGTCCTTTACGCTGTTATGACAATAATATTAGATTTTAGCCACATTGGCGCTGTGGATGTAGAGATGTTGGTCGGTCTGTCTGCAGCTCTAGTCCAGAGTGAAATATCTCTACAACTACTGGATTGATTGTCAAGAAATGTGGACAATCATGATTCCAAAAGAGACGACTAAATGTGTTGCCATAAAATCTGGTATAGACGTTCATATTTCGCTCAAAATTGCAAGAAAACTTGCAATTCTGTGACTTTCGTCAGTCGGCACAGTGGTGCAGTTGGCACCACAGTCGGCTCTGGGTAAAGTAGCTTCCGGTCCTGATGAGGTTTTGCATAAATTGCCTGTATCTGTGACTGAGTGCTTTGCATTGCAGAGAAGCTGTAAGCTGGTGGCTCTGACCTGGAGGGAAATGATGTAGTCGGTCCCTGGACGGAGGCGGTTGGTATCCAGGCGCCAGATTTGGTTCAGCACCTCAGTGAGCTCCTGATCGGCCTGTCGACTGTGGTAAGAAAACAAACACTGGGAATGAAGTAGATGCAGCAGAATGGAGTTGATCAGTTTTAGGCAGAGACAGAAGAAGTACAGACGTATAAACAGCAACACCACAGTGTAAAAGTACTCGTGAATAAAACAGTAAAAAAAAAAACATGCGTTTACATTTTTACTTTAGCAAATATGCAAAAGTATCAAAATACACCTAAAATACCAAAATTTTAAAAAGCCCCTATGGAGAATAGTATATTTCTCAATAATATCAATTATATTATTAGATCATAATGATTAATACTTTCATCACTTTCATGGTGAAGTTGATGAAGGCGGTTTAATTGGTTTATATTGTTAATCTGCAGAAAAGCTTGTATATTTCTATTCAAGTGGCAATATCGCTTTAACTTAACCTAAATCATTAAATCATAATTCATTTTTTCTTCATATGTTGTCTCATCAAACCAAACCTACAAATAGTTAGTAAGTAATGTTGTCTAATAGGTGCACTGGAGTGAAAAGTGCAGATTTTTCTCTGACTTGTAGTGGAGTGGAGACATAAAGTCGCAGAAAATGGACATACAAGCCACTCAGAATTGTACTACAGCACAGTATTTGAGTTACTTTTCACTGCTGGTTCTGACTTTGAAGGAGATTTGTTTCCTCGTCAGAAAGAGGATTCAAAAACAAACAGCGTTACTAATGACACCAACTGAAGTGTCCTCCAGGAAGTCATGACAGTATGACAGTGAGTCAGCTTCATTAAAGGCACAAGAACGTCAGCAAAACTACAAGAAGAAGCGTGAATAGAAAATCTAAATTAAATATAAGATAGTGAGCCTGCATGCATGAATACCAGAACCCTCAGCCTGAAGCCTTTTTTTTATTTACAGCTGTGCTTTTCCTGCTCCAACATGTCAAATATGTCCTCAGTAAAGAAGCAGCTGTCCCTCAAGTCTAACATTTACAGAAATTATTAACTAAGCTGTGATATTCCGCAAGTGACTTTGGGATTCTTTTATCCTTGACTGAGCTGCTTGAATCTTTTACCAGCTGCAGCATTTTACAAACACATCAATCATTGGCGCCTAAATTACATGTTATTTGACTACAAGCATCTACTGAACCCCAACAGTGAGGTTAGAAACAAAGCATCCTGCTGCATGTTATATGTACAATCCGAGAGGAATGAAAAATAAAGAGGAAGTCTGGTTTTTATGACCGTAGGACAAGTTCCCGTTTTTTAATTTTTTAATTTATTTTTTTTTACATTGTGAGAAACAGTAGTGATTAAATAAGCCAATCAAACAAGTGATATTGCAATTTAGGGAACTTTCGCAGAAGACTGTTTTAAGGCGTGTTTCGACATGGTTTTTAAATTTTGGGACATTTATATCAGAATCAATTTGTATTGCCAAGTAGGTTTTTACTTCAGAGGGTTAGGATGTACTGTTTTGGTGCATAAGATGACAAACAATTTAGTTAATTTTAAAGTCAAATGCAAATGTTTTAAAAAGTAGGTGGCATCAAGTTAAGATTATGATAAAAACAAATGTAAAAAAACAAATCATCAGCCACAAAGCATGTACGCACTTTGCCTATTTGGTAGCAGTTTAAAGCGTCTAAGGACCGATCCAGATCAGACACAAACATTTTAAATTAGCTATTTTCCAGGGTCTTGTCTGCAACCTGTACAGAGAATTGTCCTACTTGCAGGCGTTTTCTTTTGTTGGACAACACAATGTAACTGAAGGAATAGTGACCCCGCCTCCATTATTAAGTTACAGCGTCTTTGTGCAGAAGTTGTAATATGAGATAAAAACTTTCTGATGCAGTTCTGTGGTTTTACTATAATAAACTTTATTTCTATAGCACCTTTAAAAATTACACGGTGCTTTGTAAAACTAAACAAAGGACACATTAAAAGAAGAGAATGAAACACAAGTTATTCAAAAAGGATGTCAATAGATAAAACTGCATTGAAGTCACTATAAAAGCCCCACCCTTGCTGCTGTAAATTCAGTGAATGATTGACACATGGGAATAAAAAAAAAGTTGAGTAAGAAGCAACTGACAGGAAGGCAGCATACTAAGACAGAAACTCCTCTGTTCTTAATTTAGCCTGAACATCACAAGGGAAAAACAGCCTCAGTTTTATTGCAGCAGAGACTGTTTAAGTCCAACTATGTCCTGTTTGTTCTGTTGTATAATTCAGTCCTCTAATCACTCCCAGATCCAGCTGCTCTCACACGCAGCCTTCAATCCTGCACATTTTTTAAAAACTCACTGAACTGAGCTGCTATCTGCAAACAGAGCAGCTAAAACCCAAGAGGACACAAAGAAAATCCTACAAACCATCATTAGACGACCACATAACAACCAAACAGACGTGTCATGTTGCATGTTTACATCAAACATTTCTGTCTTAAGGGGAAGCAAAGTGTGACAAAAGGTCGTGAAATGGCTCAAACACGCGAAACTTGCAAAACAGAAAAAATACAAACATTTAAGTCAACAAATTCTCTGATTTTTTTAAACTTCCAAATCTTACCCTCTCGCCATGGTTCAGTTCAGTGGAAAAAGTTCGTCTGACTTCTCACATCCTCTCAAAAAAAAAAATCTACTACCGTGGCAGAGGACAGTTATCTGAAGTGTCAATCATGACGTTTCCAAAAGTGAAGCAGCCAATCACAAGGCAGGAGAAGGACCTCGCCCCGCCCCCTCCTGCCATTTATTTAATTAATAAAAGTGTGCAGCCTTTCAATAAGAGGGGCATTTTCACACAAGTAAAGTAATGATTAGAGAAGAAAAACATGCTTTAGGTTCACCTTTTGTTTTGTTTTGTCTCACAGAGGTTTACTGTAAACATGAAAAGTCAAAATAGGTCAATTCTGCATGTTGTACTTCAGCAGATTGAGCAAAAACTACAATATTTTGCTTGAAACATAAAGGCTAGAAGTTTCCCAGGACTAAAATGTCTTGGAAGATGACACAACAAGGAAACATTCAGTTCATATAAGTAGATCTCAATCTTTTTGCACCATAAATATCGCACATACTTTAACTTTGACATTGTTTTTTCTGTACTTTCCTGTTTTTTGCACTGTTTTTGTATAGTGAATATTTATCTGCCTCATTATGTATGAGTAGCTGTGAAGTGAGAGCATTTGAATGAGTGTATTTCTACACCGGTTTATCTTGGCTCCAGGCAGAGACACAGTAAACTAAGAATTTTATTGCATTGATACACTGAACTTTTTTATTGCTGCATATGACAATGAGGTTTTTACAATCTAATCAGAGGCACCGCTGAAGGGGGTCAGGAGAGGCGGGGAGATGAAATCCCTGAATTGTCATTGGCCACCCCATATATGATATATCAAGTTCATTCACTGAAACTCTGATGTCCAAGCTTTGATGAATGCAACTACGGTGTCCAAGTGCAAGTGAAAGCAGCATTAGATGAAAGCAGAAGTTATGCATAACCAGTCAGCTGTGCATCTGTCCACAAGCATGACAGAAAGCTAAAAACAAAAAACCCACAACAAACTATTTGTGCCTTTAGTTGATGGTGGCGCGCACACACACACACACACACACACACACACACACACACAGAATTTCCATTTTGCTGCAGGATGTTTGCAGCAGTGACATTATTGTGTGTGTGAATGCAATGCACAACGGGACGTGTGTAATCATTAAAGTAGCTACCAAAACATGGTTATAGGCAACCGAGTAACATGAAAACCTATTTTACTTTAACATGAGTTGCTCTTGTTTGATAAATTTTCACCACAGAAGGACACAATTTTTAATATTGAAGTCATAAATACATCCTGGATGGTTTTTACCCACTACCTCCTAAAAAATTAGGGACATTACCTGTAAAATAGGAAACAAAACTATATCAATGTGTGATTTCTTAACTTTATATTGACATGGTTGTCAACTAGCCTCAATACTATGACAGTGTAAATTCCTGTAATTCAGTTCTGCCTTTTGGTTTTTCAAGTTTTTCAAGATTTCCAGTGGCCCAGTCTTGCCACCTCTGTAAAAAATAAAAGGAGAGGTTGTCCTTAATATACAGTGTAATCAATTTATTAGAAATAAATGCATAAAATTATAGTAATAATAATAATAAATTTCCTGAAATTAGGGAACAACGTTTAATGAACAGAACATTTCTACTCGTCCATATTTTTGTCGATATAATTGCAGCAAGTTAGGCAAGGAGCAGTGTTTTATTTGAGATATCTTAATAACATATTGAAAAGTGACATACATCGTAGAATGGAATAAAATAATAGTAATATTAAATACATCTTAATAAAACGTTTTGAAAACTCGGCTATACTTATCACAGCTCTTAATTTGAAACCCCCTCAAACGGGAAGAACTAAATGTGCGCATGCGTAGAAGCCACACACGTTATTTTACAGTGTGTTTAGCAAAATAGTTGCTGGTGTGTTGTAGAAGTAGCTTTATCACGCTGTTGGCGTTGTTTATTTTCACTGCGTTTTTCATGTAGGTCTCCGTTTGGACTGTTAGCACCTGCAGTTTAAACCAGGCGACTAAAAACTGACAGAAAAAGGAAAAAGTTTAAAGAAAGCTAATTAGCCTGCTAGCTCTGTAGCAGAAGAGGCAGCATGGCAGCTGTAGTGGAGCTGATAGCTGGCAGCTACGAGCAGATCGCCTTCGGTTACAGAGTGAACACTGACGAAAAGGTAAGTTGGAGTGGATTTTTTTATGTGTAAATGTCATTGGGCAAGACTGTCACTGGAATTAATTGGTAGTTTAAATACACATTTAATATTATAGTAACGGGTGTGTAAGATAATGACAATATTATGATGACAAATGTAATGTTATTGGTGGCATAATGAACACTGTGATCTCTTGTTGCCTTACTTTAAGTTTCAGTCGTGAGATTTACAGTGAATTTAAGAAACAGGGTTCAAACTTTACATGAACAAGTATTTACATGCAAAAATCTGTACATTTTATGTATTTAGTTAAGGAAGAAATAGTAATTAGCTGTTTATAACTAATAAAAATACAATTATATGTTCCAAAAGTTATCAATTAGTTTTGTAAATAAATATGCAAATGTTTAACATGATATTAACATTTCCTGCACTAAAGACTGCATTCACCCTCAGCTGAATCTGCAAATGCTTTATAGTATACGAGACAATTGTGCCATTTATTTGCTTCTTTACAACTTTTTTTTACCCATTTTTGCTCATCCTGTTCAGAAACTTACTGTAATTTTTGTTCTTTCAGTTTCAACACTTTAAATCAGTAAGAGTTTTTAAAAACATGTCTTATTTGTTCCTGTGTTTTCTTTGTCGTGCAGGAGTGGACGGCCAAAGCAGACTTCACACATCACGCCCACACAGCTTCAGTGTCGGCCGTGGCCACCAGTGAGAGGTTTGTCGTCACAGGAAGCAAAGATGAGACCATTCAGCTGTACGACATGAAGAAGAGGATCGAGCACGGAGCTCTGCTGCATCATGACGGTGAGCAGGTTCAGTTTATTACGTCTGTGCGACTAAATGTGTAAAGTGAGAATATAATATAAAATGAATCCAAGTGATGATGGAAACGAAATCTTTACACATCATAAAATAAGAGTCAAGCCCAGTTAGTTTCAGTGTATTTTTCAACATGTTCATCTGCTTTTTATAAAGTTATGGTGATTTCATTCGTATTCAGTGTTTAATTTTTCCATATTTCTATTATTCTGCACGACAGTTACTGTTGACGTGGGTCTCATAGATTTTCATTGTAGATTTTATTCTGTGTCTGGGTGTAAAAAGTCATCTAAGCACTGATTTTATTTGGTTTTTACCACATTTAAAGACAAAATAAGTAACAGCTTGTGTTCTGTATATTTTACTGAAATTCTTTTTTACTTCAGGCACCATCACTTGTCTTGAGTTTTCTGGTTCGTCTCACTTGCTGAGCGGAGGAGAGGACGGACTCCTGTGTGTTTGGAGCACAAAGAAGTGGGAATGTCTGAAATCCATTAAAGCTCACAAGTAAGTAAACAGTATGAACCTGCAGATGCACCGAGGTGGCTTCATTTATCTTTGTTGCTGAACTCAATATATGGTGTTTTTCTCTTTTGTGTGTGTGTTTTTTTTGTTGTTTTTTTTTAGAGGTCACGTCACATCGATGTCCGTCCACCCTTCTGGGAAACTTGCACTTTCAGTCGGGACAGATAAGACTCTGAGGTAAAATCTCAGCGCTTCTGGAAAACCAGGATTAATGGATTATGAGAAAAATAACTCTTGTGTCTTTTCATCCTTTTAGAACGTGGAATCTCATTACCGGAAGGTCAGCATTTATCAAAAACATCAAACAGAGTAAGTTTGCATGTTTTCATGTGAGGTGTGAAGAAAATTATTATTATTATTTTTTTTTAACAAAGTGCTTTACAGATGAAACCACAATTCAAAAGCAACGTCTTATTTCACTAAATTCGAATTTAGCATTTTTGTTATTTATTATTACCGTTTTCAGTTCCTAGCTATTTGAGTGACTATTGTGAATTTTGCCTTTTCTTTAATGGGAAGGCTATGAATACATTTGAGGACAACTGTAACACATCCTGCTACAGAAATATATGTCAACTTCAGAACATGGCCTTCGTGGGAAATTTAAAAATAAGTGCTGTCGTATTAGTGCTGCAGTTCAGTGTATAATAATCAAAAGTGCAAATTTACAAAGGGGGAGTTGAAAATGATCAATGATTACTATAGAATTTTAAGTATTTTTACAGATAAGTAAATAATAAAAGAGGAAAAACAGGCAGCCAGCTTTACTGAAGTCTAGTTTTGGACTATGTGGTTAAAAAGGGGCTGGAAGATGTAGGTTTGGGCCCGTGTGATGTTATGTTTAGTCCAGCTGACTAAACGTGTATGTATAACATTGTACATGATTCTTTACACTCCTAACAGATGCCCACATTGTCAGATGGTCTCCAGATGGGGACAAATATGTGGTTGTGGTGAACGACAACGTGAACATCTACGACCTGCAGACGGCCTCCGTGACCGGAACAATCACAAACCCAAAGAGGATCTCATCTGTTAGCTTCTTAAATGTGAGTTCTCTGACTAGGACTCGGTGGTTTTTGTTCTCATCAGAGGATTCTTGTCTTGTAAACAATAAAATATTGGTGCTGGTCTTTCAGAACTCCATCCTGGCCGTCGCAGGAGACGATGAAACCGTGAGGCTGTGTGATGTGACAACAGAGAAATGGCTGTGTGAGTTCAAGGCTCATGAAACCAGGTGACTTCAGTGTTTTTAACCCTCCAGTTTTGTCCTCATGTTAATGTGCTTTATACGTTCCTTACATGTGATGACAGAAGGAGAGCTGCTCTGATCTCTGCATCCTTTTGTGGTTTCAGAGTGAAAGCAGTTGACAGTTTGATGATGGAGGATTACTGCGTAGTGGTGACAGCTTCCAATGACGGATTCATCAAAATGTGGAAAATGCAACTCGAAGAGG